CCCCCCCCCCCCACCCACCCAGTGTTGATTTAAGACTTCCTAGAATTTGATGAGCATGTAATTACGAACATGAGTCAGAATGCTAATAAAATGAATTGAGTGAACAGGGACTTCATGGAGGGACATGATGTATGAGTTACCAATGTAAGTCACACTAATGCAATTTGACGATGACAACAACTACAAAAATAACAACAACCAGGGTACTGTTGGTAATGGTCATGACAACATTCTCTGTGATAGCAATCATTGTTCTGATAATTATAGTTCAATAGTAATCTTCTAAAAGCACATCAAGTACAGCATGCTGATATGAAAATTAAAGAAATTCTGAAAGCTGCAGTTTTCAGAAACATCTTCAAGTTTGTTTTCATTTTCATCCTAAGTTTACAAATATCAAATAGATAAATAAAAGTTGACTTTTCAAACATACTTGAGCAAGTGACAGCCATGTTGCAGTGGCATCTTTGAGAGCCAGGGTGACTTCTCTGTCCCGCAGATAGTCACCAATCTCATGGAACCCACCCAATGATGTTGTCAAGTCAGCTGATGATGACAAGAACTGGGACTGCACTTGTAAGAGTGAAAGGAAACATGATCCCAACATCTAGAAAAGAGGATCAAAATCAGAGTTGACTTTTAGGGTGGTAATTAGAACCTTAATAAAACAAATACACAATAAAATAAAACTTGCTTATGTTGACTGAATGTAAATAGAGACATCAACAATTTATGTATTTGTTCAAAACTCTTCAACAGAACAGTAACTGCATCAAAAAGCAGATTGTAGTTCACTATAAATTTAAATAAATTTAAAGGTAGAAGTATTGACATTCTTGAACATTTTTCAGGTTGGGTCCTCAGTGCTACAATTAAGAAGATGAAAGCATTCAACCATGTTGCCTTAAAGATTTGTCTCCTTTACCACAAGTTCAACCCCTTAGCTTCAAGTCTTTTTGCACATGGGAAACTGGTTTCCTCCATAGCTTTTAAAAGTTTAATGTTCATTCAGAATTCTTGTAAACTGGATTAATGGAAAATCAATTTCAATAGGAATGGTCAGTCAGGATATTTATTTCTTTATTGTTGCTATCCAGGGCTTTTTCAGCAGTTCATCATCATATAAGAGTCACTTCTCTTAATTTCTGCTGTGGGATATCATACAGCATATTAGATCTACCAACAATTTTCAGACTTATCTCATTAATGAGCATCCAGAGAGAGGAAGGGTTATCAATTTCTATGATTTTCAGAAGAGGGATGTTTTTGCGAGAGGAGAGCTTATCAGAGAGGAAAGTTTTATCAGACACTCACTGATGAGAGACAAAATGCACGACATCACACTCCTTCTGACTATTTCCCAGCTGTATATAATATTGAATCAGTATGTATTTTATGGAAACCTTACAATATTTAGAATGAAAGCTGACATAGGCTTTCCCATATAAGTATAACGCTGAACTAAAATGATACCTAGCCCAAGTGAACAATAATTTCAACTAAATCCTCTCCCAGTTTAAGGGAGGAGATTGGTTGGAAAGCATAATCCAATTCAGAGGGAACTCATTAAAAACATGAAGCTCTAGATAAAGTTAATCTGAGAAGGGGTGGCTTATCAGGGCATTCGGAAAAGATAAACCCAAGAATTTTGGACAGGTTATTCTAATTATGACAGTCAGTGGTCTGTTGCAAATAAAAGTGAGCAGAATCTAAGATATGACAAAAATGTGTCATTCTATTTAGTAGGTCTTTTAGTAGCTGTGATAAAATCTGACTCTGTCAACAAAACTGAACTGTCTAGTATCCATTAACACTGAAAATTTTTTAATTTTGTTATTTTTTCTTAGTGAAGGAGTATAATAAAAGGGAGACTCAGGAAATAGCGAGCTTGTTCTGTCTTTCCTTTTCCTGTTTCCTTTATCTCTTCATGGCAAAATCAAACATGTTTGTAGCTATCAGTCATCCAACAGACTGCTTGTCAATTTTTCTATCAACCCAAAGCCTCAAGCCACAATTAATAACTGTGCTTAAATAAAGAATAAACCACAGGGGCAAAAAGCCTTCCTGTTTAAAAGGAAACAATGGTAAGTGAAAAGCACTTTCATTGATATATATGCACATAGTAAGTGGCTTAATTAGCAGCCAGGTAGAAGCTTCTAGAACCACATTTTACTGCAAAAGATTTCAATTCTAGATTGGAAAAAGCAATAACAAAAATCGATGTACTTTTGAAGGTATCAATCAATGTCGAAAAAATGCTCTACAGACAATGAATTCTGGTCATTTGAGGTGGTAGGTAAGTAGAAACATCGGTTGCTTTTAAATAATCAATTAAAATAAGTATGAACAATTAATCTTGAATTTGTATTCAGAATTATGAAAATTATTTTTCACAGTGTCTATGAATATTTACTTGAGGGCAGAATAACTAAAAATTCTATCTTGAAAAAACATTTTTCCAAATTCAAGCATATTTATTTTCAGATTTCGATGATAATGTATGCATAGAGTGTGTGATGACATGAAAAGGGGCAGGTAAAATCTTTGCTTCTTTTTGTAATGAAAATAAACCTGCAGACACAATGCAAAAGAAAGGGAGTCGATCTGAATTCATTTTATTTCACTCACACCCATATGACTAGAAACAAACCAAGTGGAGAAAGAAAATTCTCACTATGAAAGAAATTAACTCTTTGCATAAAGTTATGCAACTTGCTAGATGTATCAAATACGCTTTGAAGTGTGAAAATATTTTAAATTCAGCATAAGGGACTTATAAAAAGATCCAAAACTTTGGTTTTCATTTCGTATGGAGGAGTAATCATTTTAAAGACGTCCTGCTCCCCATTATCAAGGGCAAGAATTTAATTTCAAATCAAAAAATTACAAAAAGACGCCATCTGGGTCTCGAAAAAAATTTGTTTTTGTCCTCCACAGCTGATGGCCAACCACTCTTGTTTACATTTAACAAATTCCTCGAACATCTCAGCATTGCCCCTCAGACTCTCTCTAATGCACTAGTTCCTTGGTCGCTACGAAATTTTTCAGCATTTGTTCTGTGATTTTCATGTGATGCGCTCTCTGGCTCTCTACAGTCACGGCTATTTTGAGACCATGACAAAATGATTACACGAGGGCATTTGTTGGTCTGGCCTTGTAACAAGAAATCCATTAATCTACTCAAGCAAAGCCAGAAGATATCTCAGTAAAGGTTAAACTTGTTTAAATTCATCCAGTTATAGTATTGTCTAAAGAGTTTATTATGTCAGACAGATATTTATAACTTCATCCAGTTTATTTAAACCGAAGCAAACAATGAAAGTAAACTGAAGATAATTGAAGCAAGTCTTGGTGCGTATGAAATATCCCACCGCATTGCAGATCCTTTCAGCGTGTCTGTAATCAATGAATCAACACATCATGCCGAATCGAAACAGAACATTCTAGAATCAAAAACAACATACCTTAACTCGATTTTCCTCCACTTCTGAAAAGCTTCTGTACAACTTTTCTTCTTCATTCGTAAGTTCTTCAGTTGCAGCACGGAATCTTTGTCTGGTTGTTTTGAGTCGCTTTCCATCACTGTTTACAAAGCTATCGTCTCGCTCTAACCAATCCAAGTTTTCTTGACACGATTCGTAATTTTGTACGCTTCTCTTATGCGCTTCAATGGCTCGTCTAAGACCAGGCAAAGTGGCTGTGAACTCGCAAAGCGTTCCCAAAATGTGACTACTCGTGATATGAACACTCGACTTATGAGCGACATGATCGATTTCCTCCACGACTTGTTTCAGCTGTTGAGAAATCTCTAAAAGCGGCGTTTCTTTCAAAACCGTTGAAAAGGCTTCCGCTAGTTGGGAACCAGCCCCACAGAAACCTTTTGTAGCGTCTAAATAACCAGTTATCAGCTTGTCTATCGCCCCGACGTTCGCCTCAAGAGCTTCGACGTTGGCTAGTAGTCTTTGATGATAAGTGACACTTACGTCGTCCTTACTTTCTTTCCATTGATGGTAAGACAAATAGCGTACGCTGTCCATATTTCACACTAAAACAAGCTTGGCAAAAACAAAACATGAGTATACGACGATAAAGCAGAATCGGAAACCCGCAGTTTCTTCCGATCGCAACATAGGCGTTCAACGAAGTTCTCACTTCCTTCAAACATCTGAGTTATTATGAACACGCGAGGTTTCAGCGGAGTGAATATGCACATGCGTAGTTCTTTCCAAGAGGAATATGGCGGTGGTCTCTACAGAAGTGAAGGCATGGTGTATCCAAGAATTGTTGAAAATTAGAGACGTCGACGACGATTTGACGGGGTATATTTTGTCACTGAATACTGCTAGTGAATTAGAATCATATTTGCGAAGTTTTCTAGATCTCAAGAATCGCGAACATCAGCAAATTCTGGTGGAATTTTCCAATGTAGTGAGGACGGAAACTACGAACACCTCAGATGCTAGCGATACTTTTTCTTACTCCCAAAAATGTTCAGGTGAACTTGGTAATGGGTTAAATGATCCACCTATTTATCCAGGAATACAAACAAAGAAGAAAGCCCCTAAGTTTGTGCCACTGTATGGGGCAGAGGGACAATCGCGCACTTCGGTTCTCCTTCCCGGAAGACACCCATGCGAGTGCTTGGCTCAGAAACACGATCTGGTAAATAACTGCACAGATTGTGGACGGATTGTCTGTAAACAGGAAGGCTCAGGGCCTTGCTTTTTCTGTGGAGCTTTGGTTTGCACTAAAGAAGAGCAAGAGATACTGGCGCGGAATTCAAAAAAGAGTCACAAACTCCACGAGAAACTACTGAAGCAAGGGATAGAAAACGACTCATGTACAAAATTAGGCGAAGGCCTACAAAGAGCAATTGCTCATAAGAACAGACTCATAGAGTATGACAAGAGTGGAGTCCGTCGTACCAAAGTGATTGATGATGAGTGTGATTACTTTGCTAGTGACACCAATAAGTGGCTGTCTCAAGAGGAGAGGGAAGTTTTAAAGAAGAAAGAAAACGAAGTGCGGGAAAAGCGTTATGGTTCACGCAGGCAGATGAAGGTTACCCTTGACTTTGCAGGTCGAAAGGTTGTTGATGAGAATGAACCTGAGGTTGATTTTGATGCTGATTCATCTGTTCTTGCTACAGGTTATTATAATTTGGATAAAAATACCAAACCACCAAGAGTTGCTAATCTTAATTTTCCAAATGTCTCTTCTTTAAAATTTGTTTCCTCTGAGAAAGGAGGTAACAAAGCACCTAACTATGAGGGTGTTTTGGAGAAAAAACATGGTAAAGAAGTTTTACGTATCCAGGATAAGGAATTCCAAGAGATGAGTGATACAGGTGCTTGCTTAAGTATGCATCAGCCTTGGGCATCACTCCTTGTGTTGGGTATCAAGAGAGTAGAAGGCCGCACATGGTACAGTGCTCATCGTGGACGTCTATGGATTGCAGCAGCTGCCAAGCAGCCAACTCAACAGGAAATTGCAGCAGTGGAGAGTATGTATAAGACTCTGTATGGGAATGAAAATGTTGTATTCCCTGAGCATTACCCTGTATCATGTCTACTTGGGTGCGTAGACCTCGTGGAATGTCTTGCCCAAGAAGATTACAAGGAAGAGTTCCCTGAGGGTGAGTCTGAATCTCCTTATGTGTTTATCTGTGAGAATCCTCAGCAACTGGCTTTAAAATTTCCTGTTAAGGGACAGCATAAAATATGGAAACTTGACCCTGCAATCCACAAGGCAGCCAAGGGAGGCCTTAGAAAATCAGCTTGAAAGAACATCTGAAAGTATCCATGTCATAATCTTGATACAAGTAATGCAATGAACTTAGGACTAATAGTTGGATGGTGTTGGTATAGTGAGCAATTAAGAATATTCTTAAAGAACACTTCTGTTAGTAGAAGTGACAAATTGATAACTGAATGGGAAGTCATAATCTGTGTCCAGTAATAAAACAAGTGATGACATCACAAAAGTCACCTTAACTCTGATGATGATTACTAGTCAGGTTGTCAATAAAATGTCATTCACTGTTAACTGCCATAGTAATTTCCAGGGTCAGGTTGTTCAAATCTGGGTTAAAATAATGCAGGGTTAGTTTGAAATTTGATTTCAGATCTGAAAGTTTGAAAAGAAAATTCAATTTAATTCTTTTTGTCTACAATTTGATAAAAGGCTTTTGAACATAGAAATAAAGAAACCCAAATCAAAATTGAACCCAGGGTAAGTGCTAATGTGCCTTCAAACATTCTGGAGTACTTTCACCAAAATGATTAGACTGCACAATGTGGAGTATTTTGTTTATCTGTTTGTGGTCATGCCTACTTCAGGGTTAGGATCAACAAACATTGACCAAAATTACTGGTATCATATTAGAGCAAAGATTACCAAATTAAAGATCAAACTTGATTCACTCATCTAATGTCACTTAGAATGTATTTTGTTTAATCCATGTCATAGTTGAAGTTAGTGGCGTTTTAATTAAAAAAAAATTATTTAGTTTCTCCTTTCCCTGTCCTATTTGACAATTGCTGGTTAAATTTTAATTACTTTTTGGGTAATCTAAATGCAACAGAAAGTATATTGTTAAAGAGAAGTGTACCGGTAAACAATACTGCATCAAGTTGGTGTTAAAGGTTGCGTAAGGTTGAAATATTACTGTATTTCTTCATTTCTATCTGGTGGATTCATGCACACCAAATTGAGAATTATTTTTTATTAAATCATTTGGTAGATCTGTTACCACCTTGTAACTGGTAGATACTAATTAAATTAATAAAAACAGTTTGTTTCTTGTTTGAGGAATTATCACAATGAAAGAGATGATTAAAGACTGTTGAAAGAATTGTTTCTTTTTGTAATTGATTATTTACAAGAAACAGGGTCACACATTTTTTTAAAGCATTGATCAAAAGAAAGGAAAAGAAGCTTAGACCTTGTGATTTCCAGGGAGGAATGAGATTTTTTCTGTGGCTCACATTTCTTAAAATGTCATAAAACATTTCTATCTTTAACAGTCAAACAGGAAAATCATAATTCACCACCTTTATTTATCTGTGAATACTGTAGCCATTGCAGGTGGTACCGGTTGTCATATGGTACATATGCATGTGCCTTTCTCCAAGGTGGATATTCTATGAGTTGCATGGTTACCCAAGAATTGACCATGATGGATGAATGATGACTTTATCTATACATGCTCAAAAAAATTAGTAAGGAAAACATGTTTGAAACTCACGGCCTCTACTTGTTTCTCTATTTTTCAATCAGGGAAACTGTTCAGAAGACCATTTATTACTATACCCATTCACTTACCAATTAATTTTCCCTTTGTTTAGCCCCTCAAAGTTGTCCCAAACAAGCAGGCTAAGATTTGTACAACGTGTCAAAGCTTGAACTTGCGACCAAGTGGCACATGATTTAGCAAAGTTGAGGTCTACTGTTACAACTTGCAAGTTGTAAAATAATGGAATGAACAAGCCATTTACGCCCTGGTACAGTAAGAGCCAAAATGCAACTAGGATTGCCAGCTCAGAGAAACTTGAGGATTTATTGATAAGTATCTTTGCACAAGTGTAGATGGCACATCCCTCAACCCTCCAAAAAAATGGCTCCAAGTTTGCCTTCTGTTTGAATTTTTTTGCTAGATACTCCAAGATGACAGTTCAAGTTATTAAAGCTACCGGTATTAAAAAAAAGTTTAGTGCAGAAAAAAAAAATTAGCCAAAGCCAAAACATATATTTTTTTACTTCGACATCCAGTCTATCCTTTCATTTGCAACAAGATTGCTCTGTTCTCCTTATATAACATAAAATGACGTCTAGCCATGGTCGTACTTGACGAGCTCTTCATACTGCTCAATACAACTTTAAAGTTAAAGAAAAAGAGACAACCAGCAACACGTTTCCACTTTAGTGCACCTTTATTACACCTGGACAGTCTGCCAACTGAGGCATAACGAAACGGGAGAAACGCACAATAGGTAAATATACTTACCGGTATATTGAAATAATACACATATCTACATTTCTGAACATAGATCTACTCTCTTTCGCAGCCAGAGGTCATGGGTTCAACTCTCGTACTGGCCTGAATCAGTTTTTTCAGACTCTATCTTTACTACTTCTTAAGAAGTGTTTATTACAGCAAAGCTCATTCACATATTCATTTATTAATCCGCAGTTCCCATATACGATTTTATTATATTCATAGTCATATTTGTGCTTACTGTTGATCGTAGACGTCAGCAACCAAACGTGCAGGCAAGATGGCTCGATATATATTGCTCAAGATCTCTAATTGTGTTTCACGGACAGAGACAAAGTCGTAGACCATAATAAGGCACCAAAAAAAAAGCAAGCTTGGTCAAGAGAGCAATCGTGTGAGGGCAACCTGAGGTACGGTTAAAAACACAGATTCGCTTTATCCTACTCGCTCGCGGAGCAAGCTGTGTATCAAATTTTGTCGCGATTCAAAATGATTTTGTGACAAACTTGTAATCTAAAGAAGGGCTCTGAACTCCCTCTATCATTTACAATCTCCCTATCTACATCAGTTGTTAAATATTTATTTTCTGCATCATTTAGGGCTTTTCTAGAAAATCTCCTTATAATTCTTTGTGAAAACTATTAGGTTCCCAGCTCAAAGTTTTAATCGGTTGATATCCTCACTTCTGAAATCGACCCTGTGAAAAAATAAACACATGAATAAGTTATAATGGAAAGACTAATCAAATTCCATGAACCCTGCTCCACCCCACAAGACCTTCCTCGCTGTAAAGTGTACAATTCATCCTAACGATACCTTGTCAACGGATTTTCCATTTTCTGACATTGTGAAAAGGACAGCAAGAAAAGAAAAGCCGAAAGACCAATAGCGAGGCAGTAACTAACAGTGGAACAAACACTGAAGAAAAGATGAGATGAGACCTTCTAATTTCTCTCTTCTTAGATAATAGCCCAAAGCGCGAGCAACGTTAGGACTGAAGTGGACTTTAAGAACGCAAAGGCAGGGGAGTGTAAGTATTTTATCTTTCCCGGTTCATGGTCACTCTCTCACTCCACACTTGTTCTCGCACGCTCGCTTTGCGCTTCCGCTCTAAAGTTCCCCTCATAATGGCAAAAAACGAAAAAAATGGAAGTCGAACTTTCAGTTACTACGCTATAGCCACAGTAGCCAAAGTGTACTCTCCTGTCCCAACAATTTTACTTGCAGCAGCCTTTAAAAGATCCTGTTTCGTTTTACTTCAACAAAGACCCCTATTTTCGCATTTGGTAAGGGGACACCTCCAGTTGTGAAAACATGCACTGCTCTCCGAGCTTATCAAAGCATAATCTGGAAGAAAAAGGATTGAGGGAATCAGAATATAGTAGTTCACCTTAATGACAGGACTTGTCTGACTTCCGTAGGAGTAAGTCTCCAAGTCATTGGTCCTGAATTAGGACCCCAGTAATCCATAATCTCGCCCACCTGTTAAACAGAAAATAGAGGACTGTAAGGGAAAAATCGCTTCTTCATCGACCGGATTATACTTAAATAATTTTTTACAGAAATGCAAATTCGAGCAGTTGAGAGTTTTGATTGTTGATAGGATTGTTTATTTGCATTGTTAATAGACGCTTGGACAATTTCCAGACATTTCTGTAGCATTGAAAGCCTCATAGCTCATCAGAGCAGTGAATGGTCGGAAGACACTTTGAGCATGCTCAAAGTCTGAATGTTTCTGCCTTCCAAGCTATAAATATGTAAGCTCACAGTTTTTCTGTGCGCAAACAAATGCATAAGCATACTTTCGTGCTGAATGGTGGCTATTGTTTACAGAATCACGATTACCTTCTCTAAGTTGAGGACAGTGGCAATCTGTGTGAGTCTGGCAAACTTGTCTCGTATGGTCCACTGAGTGACAGCTGTCAGGTAACCGACCAGCGAACGTAGTTCCTTGTCGAACTGAAGACCACCCAGCTGATTTGAAACAATGAAATAGAGGATCAGATTCATTTAATGGATGTTGAAGTCAATAAGAGTTATTAACACATCTTGTAATATTTATCTCTTTTAAAGTACAATTCATTCTCCAAAACTGTC